CTCTCTCTCTCTCTCTCTCTCTCTCTCTCTATATATATATATATATATATACTGCACAAGATCCCATTCAATTTTTCTAAGAAGTAACAAATAACAGCAAACCTTCACATAGAAAGGTAGTGCAATTAGTGCAACAACCTCAAGAATTCAGCCATCAATCATGTTAAAAAAACAATAAGCAAGAGGAATATTCCAAAAGGGAATCATGATCACCAATGAACTTTTCTCCAAATTCAGATGTTGCTCTTTCCTTCCCTGACTGATAGCCCTCAATGAAATGTTGTTCCATTCCATGAACAGAGGGATCTTAATTGGCAAGCCATGAACAAAATTATGACAACAAATAAAGCCAGAACTGATGAATAAAGTCATCATTCATGAAACCTCAATGAGAATATCAGTTCTTAATAGGAAAGATGATCTGTTTAGCACCATATACATGTAGTCCTAATTCTCAATTCTGGCTCTAATACCATTTCAACATTCTAATTCATAAGAAACTCAGCACAATAAATATTTGATGAATCTGCAATTTTGCAGCAATGAGAAAGAGCTTTCTAACCTCAACCAGGATACCATCTCCACTGATACAGACAATCCCATCATATTTCGAAAGATCCAGTGAGTTTGCAATTTCCTTTGCATGAAGTTGAAACTGAGTTTCTGAAAAATCACAAAAGTAAAACATTAGATACATATAAAGTTCATATAAGGAAGTGAATAGAAGCATAAACTAGGCATAGACCCTCATCAAAAAGGTCACTTGGAAGTTCAGGTTCAGCAGTCAAACAAGAACCAAGTTAGCATCATGGTTCCAAAATAGAAAAACAACGGAATGCTTACATTGCTAATAAAGAAGCGTTGAGAGTTGCTCTACACAAGGATATAATAAACATGAGATATAAAAAAGAATTTTTTAAATTTTCCACTCAAGATTGCAGAAGAAATTAATATGAAAAATGAGAACAGTAAAAGAAATCAGAAGTGTGTCGAAGTATGCTCAAAACATCAAAATTGAAATAAATATAGCTAGAACAGTGGCAATTCAAGTATAAATATGCGCTTCTAGAAAATCAGGAAATGAAATAGCTAGGAATCTCATCTATCAATAAATTAGGTAAAAACATCCTCAAGACTACAAAAAGCTTAGCACCACATGGCTTCTGTAAAGGTGTAGGCCATGTCATCTTCATGGGCATCTCCATGTCACACTAGTCTCATTCAAGAGAATTAAAGGCAGGTAAAGATCAAGAAAGATTCGATGATCAGAATGATATGTCTAACTCCTCTACAATATGAGTGATATATGATTTATCCAATGCATTGAACTAATACTAGTTTCATACATGGACCACAATACCATATTCAAAAAGACAAGATTATTTATGGAAAGTTAGGAAAAGATTATTTATGGAAAGTTAGGAACTATCGGAACACTAACATCAGTACCATCCTTCATGATTCAATAGGCAAGCAGATTTGGAATTTCGGACAAACCAAAGCATGCTAAAGACAAAATAAAAAACCATACACAAGAAACAACAAGGGCATAACTGCAGGGTCACAATACCAACGGTATTATCAAGATTGTATCAAAAGTATATGCCACATAGTTCTCAAGAGGGCGAATGGAACCACGAGCAGGAATGGATTGGCAGTGGAAAATCATTGCCCACCAAAAGCTCCCTAGCTCCGGAGTGCCTTGGGAGCAGCCACACATTAAATATTAAACATATATTTATATAGGACATAAAAATAGCTAAAGGATTTTGATGCCTCGGTTGCGTTTTTCACATTAGGCCTAGAATATCAATGTGACCCCTTCTTTAAAACCAAATGTTTGCCTTCTATTGCATTTTGTAGGTGCCCCAAAGGACCCCCCAAGAAAAAGGGTATCATTTCCTTACAAGATTGGTGAAAAGAGTTCCCTAGAAGACGGGAAACATGCTCCCAAGAGAAAGGTTATGTGTGGAGAACCAGTTCCAGCTCCCTAATTGCGGAACTATGTTCTGGGAGAGGCACCACAACCATAGATGGAAGATCCCCAATAACTATGATTTTCCATGTTTGTTACAGTTTTTCTTGGGGGTGGGATGGTTGCTTCAATGCTAAAATGCACCACAAAAGAAGTGGGTTATTATTCAAGGGAGGTCCTAGATAACTTAAAGATACTGTAAAGGTCTGAATAGGTTTTTCTATTTGAATTTTGAATTTTGAATCAAATGAAAGATTTACCTTTTTTTAAAAAAAAAATGTTTCACTCGTAATTGGAGATAAAGAACCACAATAAGCCAACTAGCACAAACAAATACCTGATGGAATGGCAGGGACCCACGATGACGGCCCACTACACAAGGCTTTAGTGGACAAAATGAAGATGGTGATGGAGACTTCAATATTGACCCCCAATAAATTGCAGCACATTCAATACTTTTAATGATATAAAAAGCAAAAAGGATCCACACCAAATGGTTGGAAACTTGGAAGGCGATCTTTGATGTTTTATAGATTTATAAGCACCATTGCTGCTAAAGAATTTTCTGGACCTACAAGGTGTTTGCCACTCTACTGAGGCAGACGACGGGACCCAACTAACAAAGTTGACAATTCTCTCAACACTTGACTTAGTTCTATGAAACAGCAGGTGGTATGCTACAAATGATCAGTTGGGTATGTCACGAGGCCCCAACCTCTTGGCAGATTGTGGATAACATATGCTGGAGGAAATATTAGATATCAATGCCTTGCTGGTCTTTCTAGTAGTATTATGACATGAATGTACCCCTTCACCACTGGTTTTTCAATATGTGAATTACACCATACTTACCCAGCAGGGGGGTGGGGGGGGGGAGGGGAGGAGGAAGAAGACGGCAAAAGGCCAAAAATAACAGCATTAAAGTTATGCAGGTAAACCAATTTATAGCCATGAATATGTTTCCAACCACATAATGCTTAAGAATGTGAACAATACAATTCTTGAAAGAAATAACGGGAACAACAGCACATACCATAAATGTTAAGTGACCCCTAAATGACAGGTTGAGTAAAGGTTGACCATCAACCTAATAAATCGACGTGTCAACAAGCAAATGAGTTTCCTAAATATCTATAAGTCAGAGATGACAGCACATAACTTCCTCACAAGCTACAGCAGAAGATAAGTATCCAAATTTGCATTGAATGAAATAAAAGAAGAAATAATGCAGATACACCCAAACAAATGTACAACACATAATATACATAAATACATGCAAGTACCCATTCAAAGATAGATACATGTGGATGCATGTTCGCGCATACACAATCCATAATTAGATATATACATGCTCATGCATGCCTCTGAATGCATTAACTCATATACATAAATACGTCCATGCATTTCATGAAGCTATGTCATGCAGGCATGCATCTGTGCATTCATTTTTGTGTTTACCTTGCACAGTATACTGAATCTCAGCTGCAACAAGTAATGGCTCCACTTCCTCGCAAAATATCTTTGACGCGGATTTGATTCCACCAAAGGGATTCACAATGACAAACACATTTTTTGGTCGATCTGTTAAAAATAAATTATGATTAGTAATATAAGTGATTGAAAGATACTGCTGAAGTCGGAAGCCAAGGGTTCCTCATGATCTAGAAAGAAAGCATAATGAAAATTGAAACCATTAAAAGAGAGAGAGAGAGAGGGAGAGAGAGAGCGAGAGAGGTAGAGAGAGAGAGAGAGAGAGAGAGAGGAGGAGA